TTCATTGAGTTTATCGGGTCTTAATGAACTTTATTTTAGTTTTATTTGACTTTATTTGGTTTATTGGGCCTTAATGGGTTTTATTCGGTTTTATTCGGTTTTATTGGGCTTAATCAGCTTTATTAATTAATTTTTGTAATAATCTAATAAATAATTATTAATAAATAATTTATAAGTAATTAAATTAGTAGTTATAAAATTAAAAAAATGGCAAAAATCATTTTCCCTCAAGACGGATATATAGACTTATAACACATGCACATATCGCGATTAACAACCACAACATATATATATATATATATATACAAACAACACATGTACATGCATATATATATATATATATATATATATACACAAACAACATATATATATATATATATATATATTAGAGATGGATGCATTTAGTGACGAATTAGCGACGGATACTTTTAGCGTTGTATTAGTGAGGGACTTTTAACGACGGATTAGCAAGGGACCAGGACCTTTTAGCGACATACTAGTGATAATAATTTAAAATTACATAATTCCTATATGTATTTATTCAAAACTCCCCATCTCAAATGATTAAGCTCATATATATATATATATATATAGGGTTGGGTTCACGTGAGACCAACTTGTTTTCGTGAGACCCGTGAGACCACATTTTTACACGTGACCTTCACAGCAAAAACACTGTGAAGGTTTAAAAAAAGTCGAACATTCACAGCAAAAACACTGTGAAGGTTTTAAAAAGTCACCTTCACAGCATTTTGCTGTGAAGTTTCAAGTGTAAAATGTTGGTCTCACGGGTCTCACGAAAACAGTCTCACGAAAACAGGCTGGTCTCACATGATCCCAAGTCTTTATATATATATATATATATATATATGGATGATCAAATGAGAATGCAAACTATTTAAGAGAATTAATATAAAATCACTTGTGATTTTATATTAATGGTAAAAAAAAAGTGTGTGAGCGACTTTGGCCACGTCTTTAGGTCGGGGCGGGGGGCAAAATCGAGTGAATCATATGTGATTGTATGTAATGTTAGTGTAAAATCACATATGATTCGACCATTTCTTGATCTCTTAAATAAATACCGTTCTCGTTTGAACTATCTCTATGTATAATATCAATGCTATGATGTTCATACCTGTGGTGTTACCCCATGAAGCACCAAGAATCTTGAGGGCAATCAAGTATGTGGTGTTGCTTTTGGAAAAGCAAACTTTGCCAAAATGAATCTATTCCTTCAATTCTTTAACAGAACCCCATCTTCATCCATATCAACCCAGCTTTTCATTATACAACACTACTTTTCTTCTAAGACACCACAAAGGAACAAGATGACATACACAGCTCTCCAGATGTTCATGGAGAACTTGAACAATCTGATTTACTGCAACCATAATCCACTCATCAACAACAATCCATCCATTTTATCTGAAAGGCCTCAATTCCAATGGCTTTATCAAGAATTTGGCAACATGATCCAAACCCTTTTCATCCATAAACATCATCACCTGCATGAGCTCCAAAAACTCAGATTTCTCAAGAGAAGATTCACAGATGCAGCAGAAGAAGCACAAGATGTCATTGATCTATTTCTATCTGCTCATCACTTTAGAAACAATATTGGAATTCTCCGTAGATCTGATGTCTTTAAAACCTCCCTGGATCTTGAGAAGATAATGAGATCAATCGAGTCTATCAAGGTGGAACTCATGACTATCAACATGGATAACATGGAGATGGATTCGTCATCAAGAATCGACCGCCCCAAAACCCGTTCTGCAGCTGATGCCGCCAAGACTTTCTACACCAGAAATCCTTATGGAACTAAGAAACCATCGGAAGAAATTGTTGTGGGGCTTGATCGTGATGCTGAGCTCATACGCGACAAACTTGCTGAAGATACAAAGCAACTAGGCATCGTGTCTATTGTTGGTATGGGGGGACTTGGTAAGACTACCCTAGCTACCAAACTATTCAATGATCGTTTCGTTGTGTATCATTTCCATATTCGTGCATGGGCCACCGTTTCTCAAACATATATAAAACGGGATTTCTTGATTCAAACTCTAACATCCAGCAATGTTCGACAAGACCTTCTAGAAGCTAGCGATTCTCAACTTCGTGAAAAGTTGCACAAGCACCTAATGGGCAAGAGATTTTTGATTGTGATCGATGATATCTGGAGCACTGAGGCTTGGGATGAATTGAAATTACTTTTTCCCCATGAGAACACTGGAAGTAGAATTTTGCTCACAAGTCGCCTCAATGAAGTCGCTTTGCATGCGAAGCCACACGGATTTGTCCACTCACTGTCTTATCTGACAGAAGAACGAAGCTGGGAACTACTGCGCGAGAAGGTGTTCCATGGTGATGAGTGTCCCAAATCGTTGATTAAACCTGGAATGCAAATTGCAAAAAACTGTCGGGGACTACCTCTTTCAGTGGTTGTCATGGCTGGAGTTCTAGCAAAGGAAGTAATGAGTAAAGATTTCTGGGAAAAAATTGCTTCCGGTGTCTGTTCGTATATTGTTAGCGACCAGAAAGGAACCATGGAAACGCTAGCTTTAAGTTACCACCATTTACCTCATCACTTGAGAGACTGCTTTCTTTATCTAGGAGGCTTCCCAGAAGACTTTAGGTTCGTTGTAGAAAGGTTGATATGGTTATGGGGGGCTGAGGGATTTATCGAAGAAGTGGGAATTCGAAGCATGGAGGAAACTGCAAAGGCATACCTTTTGGATCTAGTCGACAGAAATCTTGTAATTATTGCAGAAAGGAAGTTTAACGGTGATGTCAAAGCTTGTAAACTCCATGATCTCGTGAGGGAACTATGCCAGCAAAAAGCGAAAGAAGAAAGATTCTTCCATAAAATAGACCCGCCACAGCTGTTTTCTCAACCTCCTGAGGTAACGATAGCGTATAAGCAACGCCGTCTATTCACAAATCAAGATATCACATTCATGAACTTCGCTCGTCCCCCCACCCCAAGCATTCGATCGATTTTGTGCTTTCATCAGGGTAGATGCATGATTAACAAAGTTGCAAAGAATTTACGTTGCTTTGCGCTTCTTCGGGTGTTAGATCTACAAACTTGTGAATTACATTACTTTCCACAAGGGATAGCAGTACTGGTTCACCTAAGGTACCTTGCTATGAGGTATTCATTAGGTTTTCCATCCTCGATATGCAATTTATGGTGCCTTCAAACCCTCATTCTTAAAAAATATCGCGGCTCTATAAATTTACCTCGTAACATGTCAGATTTGGTGAATCTGAGGCATTTGTGGAGTAACGCGGAGCTTATTATTCCTACCACTGAAAAACCGATGAAATTGCTATCCATTTCGGAAGTGAGATATGGAGATGGGGTGGATATGTTTGGGAAATGTTTTCCAAGCATCAAGAAGCTTGTATATGTTATTATCCCAGGTGAGGAATGTCACTTTGAATTACTCCCTTCCCTTGAAACATTGAAGTTAAGGGTGTCGGGCTACCCCAAAGACGAACCGAACTTTCGACAGATCAATCACATTTGGTTCCCTGCAACATTGAAAAAACTTACGCTAGAAAGGTGTTGTCTACCTTGGAGCGCGATGTCGATCATTCAGTCGTTACCTAAGCTAGAGGTTCTCAAACTAAAAGAAGATGCCTTTGAGGGAACACAGTGGAATACAGGTGAGAAGCAGTTTCCACAATTGAAAGTCTTGAGACTTGAGGAGTTAAATATCAAACATTGGGTAGCTTATAGTACAAGCTTCCCATGTCTCAAACGATTATCAGTGTGGATGTGCGACAATCTTGAAGAGATCCCCCTTGAAATAGGGGAAATCGCAACGCTTGAGCTTATTGAAACAGACAGCTGGAACTACTCTATTGTGGAATCTGTCAAAAGAATTCAAGAAGAACAACATGACGAGGGGAACACTGAGTTGAAGATTACTGTTGATGGAATGGAGTTACCCACTTATTTATCTGTGCATGAGGGTTCAGAATCAGAGATTGAAATAAGCTCACCATTTTCGAGTGGCCACCATTAATGTCAATGCTTTCTTTTGTTAGAAGTTGGATGCTAAAGCTCAGAATGTTCGTTTTCTCAGTAACAATGGTAATTCCTTTTCCATAGACTCATGCAAAATGGGTTCTGATCTCTGTAAATCATTTTCAGATTGTGTTTTAAAAAAATGGATATGAATATAAATATGAATATGAATACACATTTTCCCGTACAGGTTAAATATAATAAAGAATGTAATCCAATGACCCTAAATGGGATTGTCAGATTTGATTGAGATCCTTTTGCCTGATGAACATCCCATGTAAACCATAAGGCACTCTTTGTGGCAGCTTCACTGCCGCCACCACTTCAAGATCCGGTGACCCGGCATCCATCACCAAGAACCTTGACTCGCCGGAGTTTTCATTATGCACATACGACACCAAATACCCGTCGTCCTCTTCTGAGTTGGGATTCTCCGGCTCTCTTGCAATGAAAAATGCTTCACCTCCAAAGCAATTATCTCCATACATCCGACGACCCACTGTGTGGTCATGTCCGCCATTGCTGTCCTCTGATGCTGCAATATCAAGCTTCGCCACCCCTGTTGTCCTCATCATCCTTGACTTTATTGGCGTTTCTTCAGAAATCGCTGCGTACACATACCGGTTCTTTTTTCCGACGTAGGCTGGATTGATCACCGGAAACTCCAAGTTATCAGCTGACATGGTGTGCCTCGATACAACTCCAGTTCGAAAGTTAATCGTCACTTTCTCCATGGATGCTTGGATCAAATCCACCCGCTCCAAAAAGTGTTCCACCGTCAATATATTGGGTGCCACCAACACCACCACGTCGCCACCATTTTCATCCTTCTCGTCCCATGCATTCACGGCATGAAATATATTGAATCCAGGCACCTCAAACCACTTCATATCCGACTCATCCTTCGCGTACCGAGGAAGAACACCGATTCGCGGAACTTTTGTTGGGTCTACACTTACTAGGTTTCCTCCGCGGATCATGTTCATAGGATCCGCACCAAGTTGAATATCACATATGATTGCATACTTTTGGGTGATAGCCAAATCATGAGTTAGAGAGGGTTGTTTCATGGAGAAGATGGGGACGTCCGGTTGCTTATTTCCATTTGCATCGAAGCGGAAATACGTTAGATACGGTCGTGTCGACCAGTAACGAAACGCGAAAGCCTCTTTCGTTTCGGGATCGATCTTCGGGTGAGCCGTCATGTTCATGGAAAGCTTACCCTCGAAATCATGGGAACCCAGCGTTATTACGTCACCATCTTTTTCGACTTTGATTTCATATGGAAGATCAGATTCGCATAACGCATACAGACGTCCGCCAAAGAAAGCTAAATTGGTGTTGCAAACACCAATGCCTTTGCCAATATCATATTCCCCGGAAACGACTCGCGCAACAAACAAGGCTGCACGAGCCATAAAGGGACCAAGACCTTGCATGGCTCCTATTACATTTGGAACGACGTAAGATCTAACATGGTGCTCGAAGAGGTACTTGTTCGTCTTCACATATCGGCTGCAGAATGTGGCTCGACCATCGGAGATCCTAATCGAGTGCAACATTCCATCTCCATCAAGGAAGTGGTGCGGACCATTTGGGACGAACTGTGGGTTGGGTCCGTTACGGATGTAGGCACCATCTAGACATGAAGGGATGGAGCCATGGACAATCTCACACTCAGTTGGACTCAGCTCACGAACTGGTGCGAAATTATTAGCCAAGACGTAGCTGGGATCTACAGATAGGTCAAGTGGAGGATCGATGAACTTGATGATAGCTTTATCTAGCAAGTTAAATACTTTTTCGAGTAGCGAAAACCGATCCAATGATGGTTTTCTTGAATCGAAAGGAGATGATATAGCCTGAAGCACTGCTCGACATTCTCCGATGGTGGGACTTCGCCATTGGTTTTGCCTTCTCTGTGTGATTCTTGATTCTTCGGTTGTTAAAACCGAAACGACAGAAACTTGTGTAGATTTCAAGGTTTTTGTTCGAGAATGGATGGCAAATGGGTGTGAGACGAAAGGGGTATGTAAAGCTTCCATGATCGATGGTTTTGTATGGAAATGTAAAGAAGCAAAAGACACAGGTAAATCGATTATGGTGTTAACTGGTATTTGGGTGGCTTCCTGTTTATAGGAAGTGGAAGACAGAAAATTACAGAAGTGATGTCAAAGAAGGCAGGAATAGAAGCACTGCTGACTTGACTTTTCTGAACTGAAATCCTGAAAACAAGTGGATATGAGTTTTAAATATTGAGCAGTGTAGGTAAGTATCTTACCTATTAAATATTAGGGTTTGTTTTAAATGGGACGAAGGAGACACGATTTTTACATTTAAAATTTTATTATAAAATGTTGTGAAGATGAAAAAAATAAATTTTTATAGTAAAAACATTGTGAAATTTATTTTTACAGTGGTTTGTTAGGAAGTTTCAAATGTAAAAAAATATATTTCATGTGTCTTGCGAAAACAACCTTGTCTCATATGATTGCTAGTATAAAAATATTATATTATATACTTTAAAAAGAATATCTATCTATAAGGGGATGTTTACTTCTTTTTTATCATTAAGCACTCCATGGGCTAAATTAGGGCTGTAAACGAACCGAACGAACACGAACGGAGGTTTGTTCTTGTTCGTTCGTTTAACTTAACCGAACAAACGAACGAACACGAACAGTAAACGAACGAAAATAATTGTGTTCGTGTTCGTGTTCGTTCGTTTAGAAATCCGATGTGTTCGTGTTCGTTTATATGTTCGTTTATGTTCGTTCGTTAACAAGTTAAACGAACGTAATCGAACGAACATAAACAAACAGGCCTAACGAATATTAACGAATATAAACGAACGAACTTAAACGAACATAAATAAAAATTAAAAGTCCAAAACCTTCTTGAAAGCCCAATACTTAAAATGGTTTTTAAAATTTGAATTCAAACTAAATAAATAAAAATTATATATTAAAATTAATACATAAACGAACATAAACGAACTTAAACGAACATAAACGAACGAACGTTCACGAACATAAATGAACGAACTTTCACGAACATAAATGAACGAACGACTCTTGTTCATGTTCGTTCGTTTAACTAAACGAACAAATTTTTTTGTTCATGTTCGTTCATTTATTAAATAAACGAACATAAACGAACTTCCTGCCGAACGGTTCGCTGAACGTTCGGTTCGTTTACAATCCTAGGCTAAATTGTATGTCTGAATAAATATGTTTGTTTCAGGGATGGAAGATCGATGGGTTTTGAGGAGAAGCAAAGAGTGTTGGATTATTTTTGAGACATTTCTAGTATTGATTTTTTTAATATCGTTTAATGGGACAAGTGAAGGATTCTACCTTATTCCATATAATAATTTTGTCTTAATGGCTTAATGATTAAGCCGTAAAGAAAACAAACTTATGAATGACTTAACGAATAAATCACTCATATCATTAAGCTCATTAAGCTATAAATAAACAATCCTTAAATCGATCTACCGAATAGTATTGGTCAAACATTGAAAAAATCAACTTTCATTCTACATTTTTTTATTAACCTGGATATCCAACCCGCTATGTAAGCCGACTAATCACATGACGACCATCTGCTTTACAGATAGTCCGAAGTCGCCACATTTGAATCTCTATGCCCACAAGGGGATTTTTATTCTTCCTTGAAGTCTTATAACTGTCTATATTAAAGTCAAACCTCCTTGAAGTCTCGTAACTTTGTCTATGTATTAGTTTGACCAAGATAAGAGTATGTTGTCCACATAATTTATGCATCGTTAGTTGCCATATATTTTGTAGTACCGTTTTCTAGCAATTTAAACTCGACCAAATATTATCATAAAATTTTTATAGTTAAATATCGATATTTTACAAATTTATAAAATATGAAAGTCTTGTAATTTAGAGCTGTATGATATATTAATAATTTTACTTGTTGGATGTAGGGGTGTAAACGATACGAGACAACTTGCGAGTTATTCGAGATGGACTCGGTCAAAGAACGGTCAATACTCGACTCGTATAGGCTCGGCTCAAACTCGAGCTTGACTCGACATATTAACGAGTAGAGTCAAGCTCCCAATACTCGACTCAAAAAGCTCGTAAGATACTCGATTATTTTATATATAATTAGTTTCATAATATAATCAGTTTTTATGATAAACTTTGTAAAATATAAATAATAAAAATGTCTTATATTTTTAGATATTTAAACAAAATTATGCATTTTTTGATTATAAAAATTAATCAATTATTTTGTATTAAAATCACAATTAAAAAAAAAAAGACAAAGAAAAACTATAAAAAGGGTTAGTGAAATTATTTCACATTGAACAGGAGATGGTAAATAAAGGGATAAAAGATGTTATAGAAAGAGACGGGGATGAATGAAATTTCTAACTTTGTCTGTATGAGAATGAAGTTTGATGTTGATCCCTTTAGTTTTATGAAAAACTAAGAGAACATCTTTAAGTTTTAAAATTTATAAGAGAAAGACCTTAAAATTTCATAAATTTCAATGGATGAGCTTGTTTCGAGCTTGAGTTCGAACTATCGAGTTTGAGTCAAGCTTTGATTTTTACTACTCGTGAGTTTTCGAGTCGAGTTCAAGCTTGAAAATTAGGTTTCGAGTTCGAGTCGAATATAGTGATACTCGAGTTCGACTCGCATCATTTACCCTCCTAGTAGTTGTGTGAACCATTATTTTTTCATATATCTATCGGGAACTTAGATGTGTTGGAAAATCCTTGCCTGTTAAAGGCTAGGGATTTTGAAATCAAGTCCGATTTGTTGCCGTGATACATAAATAACTCACTGCAAAAATTTCACTTTTCAAACGAACAAATCGTTTGTTTCTTCAAATGATTGGCAACTTCAATTCCGGCCTTTCTTGACATCTCTTATGTATTTTTCCTGTTACGTAAGAATGCCGCAATAACATCCATATATATGTGTTTTGAGGAAGTTTCTTGGAAGTCGAACAAATCAAACTATTTGTGTGTGTGTGTGTATATATATATATATATATATACTCGAATGGTATTCACGCAATATAACGAGATACATCTCGATTTAATTGTTTCATGTTATTCTGTTCCCGTCAATGTTATAATACGATTTTATGTGGTATTGAAAAAAAAACGATAGTGTTTTTATTTTTTGAATAAAAATATAAATTTGAAGGTATAATAAATTTTTGAAAAAAAAAATTATCGATTTTAGTATCAAATTAAATATTTAAAAGTTTTTTTTTCAACTTTTATTCTACAAATTAATTTTAAGATATATTAAAGTCAAACCTCGTTGTAACTTGGTCTATGTATTAGTTTGACCAAGATAAGAGTACGTTGTTCACATAATTTATGCGTTGTTAGTTGTCATATATTTGGTAGTACCGTTTTCTAGCAATTTAAACTCGACCAAATATTATCATAAATTTTTTATAGTTAAATATCGATATTTTACAAATATTTTTTTTTATAAAACATGAGAGTCTTGTAATTTAGAGCTGTATGATATATTAATAACTTTACTTGTTGAGTGTAGGGTGTAAACCATACGAGACAACTTATGAGCTACTCGAGATGGACTCGGTTAATACTCGACTCGTATAGGCTCGGCTCGAACTCGAGCTTGACTCAATATATTAACGAATAGAGTCAAGCTACCCAATACTTGACTCGAAAAGCTCGTGAGATACTCGATTATTTCATACATATAACTATAAATCAGATGTGTTGGAAAATCCTTGAGTGTATAAGGTTAAGGATTTCGAAATCAAGTCCGATTTGTTGTCGTGATGCATACATAACTCACTGCAAAAATTTTACTTTTCAAAAAACGAACAAATTGTTTGTTTCTTCAAATGATGGGCCACTTAAATTCCTGCCTTTTCTTGACGTCTCTTCTGTATTTTTCCTGTTACTTAAGAATGCCGCAATAACATCCACATATATGTGTTTTGAGGAAGTTTCTTGGAAGTCGAACTAATCAAACTATTTGTGTGTGTATATATATATATATACACTTAAATGGTACTCGTGCAATACAGCGAGATACATTTCAATTTAATTGTTTCATTTTATTTTGTTCTCATCGATGTTATAACACGATTTTATGTGGTACTGAAAAAACGATAATGTTTTTATTTTTTGAATAAAATATAAATTTGAATATATAATAAATTTTTTTAAAAATATCGATTTTAGTATTAAATTAAATATTTAAAAGTTTTTTTTTTTAATTTATTTAATTCAAAATTTTATTATAATTTAATTTACATTTAATAATAAAGTCATTATTTTTGGTTTAATAATATAGTTTTTTTTATAAAGATAATAATTAGTATTTTGTTAGAATTCAATAATTATTCTAAATATATTTTAGATTTTTTATATTTAAAATGAGATACTTATCCAGTATTTGATTATATTTATCTGCAATTAGTTACACGAATTCAAACATGAAGCTTTAATATATAAGTTCTATGTATGCACAATTTACTTGTAATCTTGAATTTTAAGTAATATGCATCAATAAACAATACTTAATGTATCACAAATAATTTTTTAAGAGTTTTTGTCAAATGTTTTATAATATATACATATATACACACACACACACACAAAGTTTGATCAGTTCAACTATATATATATGGAGGAAGACTCAAACGAGAACGCTAACTATTTAAGAAAACAAGAAAAATGTCGTTAATGTACAAAATCATATTTGATTTTACATTAACGTCAAAAAAATGGAAGTGAATGACTTTTGAACCTATATGATTTTGTACATGAATACATATATGTGAATCATGTACGATTTTGTACGTGAATATATATATATATATGTGTGTGTGTGTGTGAATCATGTATGATTTTGTACATTAACAACCTTTTTCTTGTTTTATTAAATAAAGTTCTCATTTGAACTTGCCCATATATATGGTATATATGTGTGTATATATATACACTACCTCAAAATGTCACTTAGGCAACAAATGAAAAATGTTGCCTAAGAGGGGTTTATATGTTGCG